GTCCCGGCCTGCGGCCGTCGGGCGATCCGACCCGCGGTCGGGCCGATACCTCGGGCGATACGGAATACCCCGTGTTGTATTCTATATGTATTGGACAAAAGTGCAATTTTAATTTTCATCTGATTGATACAAACACAGTATACAGTCAGCTTTGTCGTTTTCCGTGTTATATTTTCTATGTACAAGAGAATACACAAGACGACTTTTTTTCAGTTTTAAGTCTTCAATATGCCTCATCTTTACAAAAAATCTATTATCTAACATCAGCCCCGCCCCCCCCCACACACACAAACACATAATCACTTCAGAATATCTGAGTAAAAACATGTTAATTATCCGTACTAAAATCTAATTGGCGGATATGTTACATTACATTACACTACATCAAACTACGTTTTACCTAACCCATGTTGAAATTACATAATACGAAAGTATAAATGCGAAGCTGAGAAGTCACATCAACTTCATGATACAAAATGCCGGTCTGCTGGTGACCCTGTTACCATGGCTTCACAAAACTCCCCAATCTCTAGTAGTCCTAGTTACAGCTTGTATTACTAGTACAGTGTACAAATGTATACTGTAATTCCTGATTTTTTTCAGCGTACTGTTATGTTCACTGTTTTCACTGTCACTTCTGTACCGTGAACTCATCATTACAGTTAACAAATAATTCCTGGACTTTCTTTTTCCTGCACCTGTCACCACAGTGAATATGTAGTTCCGTGAACATCTCCATTTTTGTCAGACCGTGAACTTTTGCTACCGTGAACATAAAGTATACTTTGTTCAGTCGCTTAGTGTTAATGTCTTCATACAGCCGGTCCCGTGGGCCTGCTGGTGGGGCCTAAATTCATACGGTCCTTGTATTTTATACTGTAGTGCACACTAGTATTGTTTAGTAGTATGTAGTTCTATGTCTTCACACAGCCGGTGCTGCCGGTCTGCTGGTGACCCTGTTACTGGGCTTGACTCTCGCCTCTCGGCCGGACCGTGACACGTCAATCAGGATCTCGTCCCCATCCTTCACGTCGTACCTGCGGAGGAAACAACCAACCAGAGCGCGTCAGTCGTGGTCTCGTTCCCGTCTTTTTCGTGCATGCTGTTCCTTGGTGATATGTTTGTTTCTTTTATTTATTAGACTTCAAGTTGGGCGTTAAATACTTGTAAAAACTTTTTGAACAGGATATAAAGTATGACAAAACTACACTTCCATTTGATCGTTGATTATGGTCAAAGTCTGTCAACAGCCGGAAAGCCACGTCGAGAGTTCTATGCGTTTCTCTTTTCCTTCCGCGAGAGAAAGTAGTCCGTTCCACGGCTCCGGGCGTCGACTCGCCTCACAAGAAAGTTTACCGCGGGATTATACAATCACATATCTTCCTTATTGTAACTTATTAATAATATTTAGACTTCCTAATTTGCTCCCAATAAATTTTGGAGCCGAGAATGTACCTTTCCCCTTTCGATATCATGACCTGAAATTAGGCAATTTTAGTGCAATTTCCCCGTGTATTTTCACCTTGATGCAGATTTCGCACCAACAGGAAATTTGTTGGGTGAGAAAGAGCAAATCTTAAACTTTTTGATGATATTTGACTTATATTCAATTTCGAGTGCGAAACGGGTTTCCCCCGAAATTCGGTAAGGCCATGTCACGGGAGCAGGCAAGCAATTTTAGTGCAATTTCCCCGTGTATTTTCGCCTTGATGCAGATTTCGCGCCAAGAGGAAATTTGTTGGGTGAGAAAGAGCAAATCTTAAACTTTCTGATAGTATTTGACTTACTTTCGATTTCGAGGGAGAAACGGGTTTCCCCCGAAATTCCGTCAGGCCATGTTACGGGAAAAGGCAGAAATTTACACCAAATAGAACGCGCATCCCTGGCGCGCCCGTGTCTAAGCTACGTGTGTTCTACGGAGCGCGCTCCTCTCCTACATGTCCTATACATCACTAGATTTAAATTATTGTCTATCTATGTCTAAACTACTTTTAGTTAGACTACATTGGGTATTAATTCATCTTATATCTAAACAGGTTCTTTTGATTTTGCACTGAGAATATATGTTTCTGGCCCCTTGATAGCTACGGCCGATCTGAAAACTCGAAACCAGCGTCTGCCTAAACGCGGGGAAACATTATACTCTCGTAGCTTCCTGACCTTTGAAAAATTAATTATAGCAAGCAGACCGTTAGAACTAGAATACCTCACACATTGATTTATGATTGGGATAATTCAAAGAATAATAATTGGATCCTTTTTTTCTCGATTTGAATGGCACTGGGTTTAAACAGTTCTGGTCCCTAGTCAGGGCAGTGCAACATGTGCATTGTATGCTATGATTATTGGTAAGTTTATCCTGGATCTGTTATATCCAATCTACATGTATAGTCCATGTGTACTGCTTACTGTAATAAGATAACAGGTCCTCATGTCCCTAGTTTTACACAGTAGCATTTTTTTATTTCTAAAAGTGCTGGGCCTTGGGAAATCCCTAAACATATCTCTCTCACATACATGTTAATTGTCCTTTATATTGATTAATCAATTATACACAAAATTACCAAAGAGCCATTAAGGTTGCTTTAACATTTATCTCATTACCAAACAAAATAACGAAGTAGTACATTTTGTTGTGGATTGGGATATCAAATACTTGGGATATCAAAGTCTCATTACATTGTAGATCTTTTACAGTGCATATGTTATTTAACACATGCTTGAAAGTTAGAGTAGACATTGAATGATGAATCGAATATTAAATACCAAATTGTATTAACATTACAATAAACAAAATAAATGGGAATTAAGATCTCTGTACATAATACATCTTATATTTATCCATAATCTCAAGCTAAATATAACATCCTGGTATCCTGCTGGTGACAATCCTGTTGGCCATGGCTTTCACCTGCAAGATGGAAGAATAAGAAAAAAATCATTAAGAATGATATGACACCAAATTAAACCCAATTCACTCATTAATCAACATCAGAGAATTCTGAATCTGAAATGTTATTTAATGCAGACAAGCTGCCTATGTAAATGTTATCTATGAAATTAACATCCTGATCCTCACTAGTTAAAAGTCTTTCTGAATCAGAATCATCATGAATTTCCCAATTTGATCAATATGGAGTAAATTAAAATATTCAGGATGAAACGTTGAACTTAGAAGAAAGGCATAGAAGAAATAAGTAATTTAGATTTGGACTGTACAGCTTGTATAGAAGTCCCATTCCACCCACTGGGACTTCCAGTAACAGTTGCATAGGGGCTACCACTATTTATGTTGTCTACTATATTGAAGTTACAGTAAAAGAACCTTTTGTCAAGCTATGCAAACTCTTCCAAAGTCAATTTATCCAAAACCCCAGAAATAAATATTTATGAGAATCACTAAAATAACTCTCACCAAGGCAATTTCAGAGTTGCATTAAATCATCAGATTGGCTATAGGAATAAATCAACGCAGAAGTTATCATATGAAAAGGATAACTACACTGGCCTTCAGAGACAAAAAAGAAAATTATGGAAGACCTGAAAAGTCTCCTAAAAATTAGAGGTATAAAGAAATGTGCAAAGTTTCAAAATGAGAAAAAGAAATGTCATACTTTTGCATAGTTGCAAACAACAGGATTTGTTTTTTTAGAAATTTGGAACAGGTCCATTTCATGCTGGGGGTTTGGTATTTATCAAATGGAATAAATTTGGAGGATTCTTGATGAATAATGGTATTCATATATAAAAAGGAAGGCCAGGTGCCAGAATTGATACTATCCTTTAAATATTTTAGCATAGAAGCATAGAAGCAAAACTAGACTCTTGATCTCTTGATCATATTTTTGAGAGTTAACTCTTGCAGAATACAATACTAAATGAAGGGATTCTATAATATCACAATAACTATAGTATAACATTAAACTATGTTTGGTGTTAGAACTTTTGTGAACCAAAATAAAGTTTCCTTAATCATTTAAGTCCAACCACAGTAGAATGTGTCATAATCAGTACATTACTTTGACTTTTACATTCAAATGTTTTCTTTGACTTGTTTACATTTCTACATAAAGATCACAGGCATCCACAAGAAGTATTGGTTTATTTTAAAAAAATATTTCTCCAACCTTACAAGAAACCTGGTGCTATGCTATTTGAGGTGGATTTTAGGGGCTAGGGTCTTCCTCAAACTTCAACATTAGCACAATTTTGTTCTCACTTTTATTCTTAGTTATATATTTGTATTGGTTGTACTTGTTTAGTGTTAAGTGCCAAGTGGGGCTGTTATCAAAGTAAGTGACTGTATAACTTGAGTGCATTTCCACTTTGTCCTTGTCCTTTAACTTTTTCTTTAAATTTTCCTACTAATTTTTTTAAAGATGCCAGGAGAGAGTTTGACAATGTCATGGTTTGCCAGATACTTACCAATTTTACAGTTGGTGAAGCCTAGGATGATCTGAAAAAGAAATAAAAAATTCCCCTTGACATCTTATTCCTAATTCAATACTGAAATGAATGTTAGCTTTATTTTAATAATGAATGATATACATGCTCAACCACTTATTATAATTTTTACAAATGTCACAAGCTGCATATAAACATGTATATTGTGCACTGTTTTTTTTAGATCATCAAGCACTAGATAGAAGGTACAGGCATGCCTGTCTTTATGATAGGCATGCTGTGACTTTAGACACTACAGTAAGACATTGTAGCAATTTGCAGCAGTCATGCAGCTTTGTTGTTCTTGTATGGCAACCAGACATCACGTGATAAAGTTGGCGGGAATTTTTTGCACAAACACACACAGAAGGGATGATTTCTTTTACAAAGTTCGTGATCGATCAGACTCAAGTACAACACAACTACAGTATTTAGAATTCAATCTGTCCTCGTAAACATCTAACGACCAAGAGTCCGGGTCTAAACTTAGACTAGATTAGTTCACCGGAAACGATTTTACCACCAACATGATGTTTACAAGAAATGAAGCACATATACGCAAATTATTCAACATTGACCGAAATGAAGTCAAACGACAAATGATGAGGTTTAGCCATAAAATTGCAGAAAAAAGTGACCCCAGTTGGCATGGAATTGCAAATATATCCAGACTCCGCACCAACAGGATATTCATAATGGGAGAAAGCCAAGGGTTCAACACATTTTATCCACATATCGTCATATGCAAAATCAAGTGCGAAACGGGTTTCCCCCGAAATTCAAATGAGACGAAAATTCAGATCAGTCAAGGGCGGCCATTTTGTTCATTTCACTGTACACCGAGTTTGATCACAAAACTACACTAAAACTCAGAGAAAACCCCTCAAATATGGTTAGTACAGAGAGCACATGATATACACGTCTGATACGTACCGCCATCTTGACGCAGAGGCCGAAACTCGTGATGTAATCAGCTGTCAACCACTCGGATGAAATTTCAGCCCGCCGGCCGCGAAAACGTCGTCCTTAGCAACGGCGTTGCTATGGACGGCGGAGTGATACGCTCTGCAAAGAAAACTCGTTCGAAAAGCGTTCGATTCAGTACGTGGCTTTCCGGCTGGTCAATTCGTAGTTCGTCCTTCAAACCAAGTCAGTGTGAGGATATGTGATCATGAATACTGTGTTCTGCTACGTAATATTAGACATTTTAGCTTTGGCAAAAGTGCTAGCTTTGATTCTGACGTACGCTCCAAGAGGGAAAGTTCACTAACTGTCAAAATGGAAGGTTCACTAACTGCCAAAAGGGATGAACCATTAACGGTTACCTGCTGAGAGGGAGGGACTCCAGGAAGAGTTCCTGCATCTCGGAGCTGCCGTCCTCCCAGCTGCTCTTGGCCACATGGTACAGCCGGACCCACCTGTGGGGAGGTAAAGAGTGCATGTAATAGTCAATTTGCTGCAATAATTAGAAGTTCTTTTTTCCTTCGCTACATGTGGCCAAAAGAATGTAGGTGGCGCTTCTGCGTCGAGAACGTAATCCCCAGAGTTTGTTTCTCCCCTTGTCCTGGTTCGTCATATCGGGGTTTACTATATGCATGTATGTATGAGTGTGTGTTTCTGTGTTTGTGTGCGTGTGCTTGCGCGCGCGCGCGCGTGTGTGTGTATGCGTGCGTGCGTGTGTGTGTATAAAGACTGTGCGTTTGCGCGTGTGTGTACGCTGCACTCACCCTGGATACTGCTTGACGAGGTGCGCGCAGTAGTCCCTGAGTTTGCCGATGGTCTGGTTGGTCCTGCATGAGCGTGGCTTGTGTATGTGTGTGTGTGTGTGTGTGTGTGTGTGTGTGTGTGTGTGTGTGTGTGTGTGTGTGTGCGTGCGTTCGTTCGTGCGTGCGTGCGTGCGTGCGTGTTTGTACAAGGACTGTACTCACCCCGGATACTGCTTGACCAGATGCGCGCAGTAGTCCCTGAGCTTGCCGATGGTCTGGTTGGTCCTGAGCGTGGCCTGCTCCACGGTCCTGCCGCCGTACACCAGCCGGACCGCCGCCCACCGGTTAAACCCGCGCCCGATGCTCACCAGCCGCACCGGACTCAGATCACCTGGAAATAAAGAGCGGGGAAATATGCAGAGGAAAGCAGACATTTTCAATGTTTATCATAGGTTTTACTAAGCCTCTACCATCGCGGATCGCTGGAAAAATAGAAGACATTGGCCATAATAAAGGGAAAAGTATACCAGGGGAGTTAGCCGGCCAGCGATAGTACAATATAGATCCATGGGTCGCATATTGGACCCTTCCTGGCCGGCTAACTACCCGGGTATTCTACATGATTGGCCAATTTTTACTATTTTTCCAGTGATCCGCGGTGCCTGGTAGAGGCAAAGTTTTCCTTATGTCACCACAAGTACTGAAGTAAATGTATGAAATGTAGTAATGAAGTAAAATTGATTCTGAATGAGTTCTATCAAGAGCACTCTAAGATATGTTACCACTGGACAAACATATATTTCATATTTGTAGAGGTATTTCTATGGTGGATTTTGAGGCCGGTCACGAAGCGAGGCTCCTTACCGTGCTTTTCCTTCAGCAGTCGGTAGGTGGCGGGCCTGTCGTCCCTGTCCGCGAAGTGTCTCAGGAAGAACCGCTCGGCCTTCTCCCGCTCGTTCTCAGCCACGCGGCTGCCGTTCAGCTTCGTGATGCTGGGCAGGCTGGGGAGAGAGTGGGAAGAGGGTGGGGGGTTACAGCTTCTGCTTATCATCGCTATATGTAGCCAATGTAGGTGGCACTTTTGCCGGCGAGAACGCAATGCTAAAGTTTGTACACCCCCTCGCCCCGGTTCATCACTTTGAGGCTGACTATCTTATCCGCAAACGTACCACCTACATGTGTGTGTGCGTGCACTGCGTGCGTGCCGTTCAGCTTCGTGATGGTGGGCAGGCTGGGGAGAGAGTAGGAAGGAGGTTGGATGTTGGTGTACGGTAAATTTCTTTAAGGACACATAAAAATTTCCCTGTTTGTGAAACTCAAGAGTTCCCGCTAGCTGCATTTTCGCGTTCGCGTTGGAAACAATGGCATGCAGAAACAAAATGGCAGGCTGAACAAATAAGTTCGAGTACGAGGGTAGGGGTACAAAAACTACTTTGAAAAGAAAGTTACAGTACAAATGACCAAAATCTTTCTAAATAGCATGAAATATACACTTCGGCAGCTGCCATCTGGAATTTATGCAAGTAATTTTTAAGATACCTGGCGATAAAGAGTTGCCGCCTGTCCTCTGGGCTGGCATCTTGAAGTAGTGGAATTCCCTGAACGGACAAAAAAGGTTCAACATCGATATCAGCAAAATACGACAACGACTCCTGTCTCCGACTTGGATTTTACGGTTACAATTTCAATAAATCAAATCAAATCAAAATCAAAGTAGAAAACTACATATCAGAAAGCGAAGAAAGTCCTGACCTGTATTCTGAGCGTGTCCAGTTTCGGGATGTTCCGTAACCCCTCTAAGTCCCTCCAGCTGCATAGTGACGTGTCACTCACCGATAGGGACTTCAGCTCGGCGAATGGCGTCGCGTGGGCGTGGCCAACTGGGCGTGACGAAGTCGCATCTGATTGGCTGAGGGCCTCACTGCCGTTACCTGATTGGTCAAAAGTCTGGCAGCCATTCTGTGATTGGTCGGAATGATTTCTACTGCCATCTGATTGGTCAACAGGCTGGGTATCACCTTTACCTCCTGTTGGTGAGTCTTCAACGGCGCACTTTGATCTGAACTCCTCCAGGACGCATTTCTTGAGGTTTTCGAGACTTGACCTCGTCACCTTTCCCAAGACGTCGCGGACGAGCTCTCGAACTTCGGAGTAATCTACCTGGACGTCTTCCGCGTCGTCTTCGGACTGACTTTCCGTTTCAGAGCTGAGGACCGCAGCGGAAGGATCGTACTGAGATTGTTCCTGGCCTTCTTCGCGTATGGATGCGGTCTCGCTGCACGTTTTATCGTCTGCGGAGCTGTCAATCACCAGGCCTTCCAGCGGGTTTCCCGACAGCACCAGGGAGCGGAGAGACGGGAGGTACCGCAGCTTCCAGACCTCGTCCCAGCTATACATGGAAAATAGTAAATATCAGTGCGCAACAAAATCAGGCATTTCGGCAGAAAATATAGCCTTCACAAGTTTAGCGATTTTCAAACCTATTTTCCAAAGCCCGAATCCAACTGGATTTAAAGACCAGCAATATCTGTACAGGATGCCAGGGTAATAAGTTCACCACTCAAGTTCATCCCGTTTCCAATGTTTGACCTTTTACATTCTGCCAGTCTTACTCCCACGTGCTGTCAACCTACTCTGCAAACAGACACACAAATCCACAGCTCAGCCACCCAAAACAATACTTTCGTACCCGGGATTAACGTACCTTCTGATATGATTCTCACTCAGTGTCAGGGTCTCCAAACTTGCGAGCGCGGCCGAGTCGGCAGCACTGTCAAAATCTATCATCTCGTATCCTAGAAAAGTACAAAAAAGTAAGGCACATTTTATGTCAATGTATGAAGATACGATTTTTTTCGTCTACAGTTCATGTCTAATTCGTATCTACAGTCTATCCATTCAAATTCGGAAAACAATGAAGAAGAATGGCTTGTTTGTGCATGTGTGCGTACGTGCGTGTGTGTCTCTGTTGTAAGAGTTTGAATTGGTCAACCCCTTATTTTCTTTCTATATTTGGGAAGCAGACCCTTGTGGTCCCTTGTGGCTCTTTGGTGCAGAAGAATTTTTGAGATTGAAGTATGAGAAAGTACACTTTCATAGGGACTTGTTTTAGTGTATTTTACCATAGGCTTCTATGGGCAAAGGTAATTGTACTGTCTGCCCTGAAGCTACTTCTGCTCTACAGACACAGTACCGACCATTCTTGCAGAGGTGCAGTTCCTTGAGGCCCGGTAGGTGCCGCCCCAGCGCCGTGATGACGTCCCACGCCGCCCCGGTGCCGTTCAGCATCACGTGCTCCAGTCGCTGCCCAAACGGCTCAGACCAGCTGTCAATCAAACTCTGCAATATGACATATCAGGAGGTGAATTTTACTGTTTGAACACTCACCCACAACACAAACACATACAGACGTACACACATGTACATACACACGCACACACACACACTCGCGCGCGCACACGCGCACACACACACACACCAACACGCGCGCACACACACACACACACACGCACACACACACACACACGCGCGCGCGCGCACGCACACACTCAATCGCTCATTCACTCCCTCATTCATTCATTCATTCATTCATTCATTCATGCACTCATGCACTCACTCACTCACTCCTCACTCACACTCACTCAATCGCTCATTCACTCCCTCCCTTCCTCATTCATTCATTCATGCACTCATTCACTCACTCATTCACACACACTCACTCATTCATTCACTTATTCATTCACTCCCTCGCTCATTCATGCACTCACTCACTCACTCACTCGTACATTCATGCACTCACTCACTCACTCTCATTCATTCATTCATTCATTCATTCATTCATTCATTCATTCATTCATTCATTCATTCATCCATGCACTCAATCACTCACTCACGCACCCACCGTGTCGTTGTTTAGGCTGTTCCAGCTGAAGTTGACGGACTTGACCTTGGGCAGCGCGGACAGCACGGACAGCACTTCCCGCCAGCTGGACAGACAGTTGCCAGACAGGTCAAGGTCAGCGATGTTGGGGCACAGGTCAGCCACGCCCCCTGGCGGAATCCCGGCGTACGTGATCCGCTTGTGATCCAGAACCTGAAGAAGGGCAGATCGTTCGTTTGATTTTGTAAACGTAGCCTTCCTTAATTGCACGCGTGCCTGTACTGGTCGGCGTTAGAATTTTTTTTTTGGAGGGAGGAGGTAAGTTTTCTGATTGTACTTAGATCTCAAACTATCTCTTTCCTTAGCCTACAGAACACGGAGGTTTAGCTGTATTACGGAGGTTAGTTTTTTTACCGCAATAAGCTGGCGGTGAATGCGAGGTAGAATATCTGCATCTCGTCTTTGAACCGCCAGGCGGACACGCACACAGAAACACAGACTGAACAGGTGTCTCAATTTACACCGAGGTATTGTTCTGTTTTAACGTTTAACGTCTGGCTACTGTCTGGGATTAAAAACAAAAGGTAAGGTACGCTATGTGTTGTATGAATATGTGAGGGGGACTGTTTTTCGTCAACAACGCTTATTCGATATTTCAGGCTGGACTCGTTGACGATTTTAACCAACGCTTAACTTTCGCCACCGTTGTTTTATTTATTTATTGTTGTTTTATTCCATTTATGGCTTACTTCAGGCACGTGGCCCAAGTGCTCAGCTAATTGTACCATAAAATAATCAAGACATATTGTACACAATAGACTTCTTACTAATCTTAAACTTAGACGTCCAAGTCATTCCTTACCGCCGTCTTAAGGTGCCCCAGCTCCGGTTTCCCGCTCCTCCTGGCCTCCTTGCGCGGCGTCCTGGGTCCCGTCACGAACATGATCTGCACGAATTCTCCGCCTCCGTCCCCGAACCCCTCATCCGGGTCCAGACAGTACTTGTCCCGCAGGGCCTGCACGAACGAACGCGCCGTCGGCTTCCTCTGGTGCTGGCTGGTCATATTCACGTCTGAAATGTATGAAAGAATGAATGAATGTGTGGTTTATGAATGAGTGGTTTATCCCCGAACCCTTCGTCCGGGTCCAGACAGTACTTATCCCGCAGGGCCTGCACGTAGGACCGCGCCGTCGGCTTGCGCTGGTGCTGGGTAGTACTCATGTTGTCTGAAATGTACAGCAAGAAAGAAGCAGGCAAGCCTTAAAATCACACAAAAATTTAAAAGTAGTTTTAAAAGTTTTAATACACGCGGCTCTGGTGGTATGGAGTTCTTTCTTTGGTGCTCGCTGCCCATGTCTGAAATGTACTAACAAACTTACTAAAAACAGACGTAAACGTAAACGAAGCGGAACAGACAAGCCTTAAAAATCACACCAATAGTAGTAGTTTTAGACGAAATATACGCTGTGGCGGTATATATATAGTTTTTCTCTGGTGCTCGTTGCCCATGTTGTTGGATCTAGTTGCAGAAATAGTAAAAGTCAAAGGTTTTCCAACCCTTAAAATCACCCCAAACTATAGTTTTAGACGAAGATACGATCTGAACACTCATTTAACACCTGTTGGTGTTATATGCTACGAGATGTAGTATTACAAACACACGACTATGAACTGGGGGCAAGCAGGTCACATACTATTTTCAGAATCCGTCATTAATTATTTGTTAGTTTTAGTATTTTTCAAATCCATGGAGCCTGATCTATGGTAATGAAATTTCTGATCGCACAGACAGATCCCAGGCCAGCTACTGACGTCACTGCATGACTCAGCTGCTTATTTTAGACGGTCGGTCGGCATTCCTGGTGCTGAAATCATTTTCCCTGTTCAATATCTTAAGATCAACGACGTTTATTGCAGATATCCGATTGTACAAAAAATTTAAAAAAATTCGTGCTGCAGTTACACAAAGTAAACTTTAACTATTTAGTTAAAATAAATCACATACTTGCTCTGAAATTGAATATGTATACATATAAATTGAATGCATGTACATGTGAATTCCGTATTCAAAAATGCATAATTTGAATGAAATTTATTCCTAGTTGCAAGATACTGAATTTGGAAGTGTCTAAAGTAAACAAATGAATATCATTTATTCACAGGAGACACCTGTCTCATGCACGTCGACGTCGACGTTACCTGGCGTTCTACAATGTCACAGACGGCAACACTTAAACAAATCTTATTTCAAGACGTATATATATATATATCATAAATGCCACATGTAAAGATATCATATCTAACCAGTCAGCACATGCATTTCATTCAAAAATCACAACAACACTGTCACAAAATCCATAACAAGAATCGGGACATACCTGTTTTTAAAACTTGCCAGGTAACGTACTTCGAGGATTTGAAAGTTTGGAAGCGTCTTGCGATTTTCCCCTAGCAACGGACGGTATATACGAGCTTGACCACCTCTGTCTTTACGTGGGTGAAGTAATAATAAAGAAATAATAAAACGAGTCAGTCCAGTAACACTAACACCAGTGACTCACTCACTCTCCGTTACGTTAGAACAGTAACCAGTATGGCGGCGGCCGGTCATTTCAAAACATAGCACTGGTGACGTCACCAGGTAAACAATCGGGTCAGCTGATCGCAGGTGTTCTGTGTCACGTGATCGCAGGTGTTCTGTCACGTGATCACCTGGGCCCGTCCATGTGCGGGGGGGTCAAGAATTTCCATTGACATTGTTTAGAGCAAGGAGGTTAAAAAAGTTAGAGTACACAACTTTTATAACAATGATTTTCAAAATCAGCTTTGCTTTTTTATTCTTATATAACTTTTTTTAATACAATTTTTGGTCATTTTTCAAGGGTTGAAGGTGGTGAGATCCCTCTCCTTCTTCGCTTGTTTACAGTGGACGTTTCTGAATAAAGTCCAACCACCCTCGTTCCCAACACTTATTCTTGTTCCCATTTCGTTATGACCAAACCACTAGTATCAATGAACATACACACACTAAAACACACACACACGCATACACATGCAATGTATGTAATGATACGACACAACACAAATGAAATTATTTTGACCATAAAAAATTTAATGATCTTAACACATAATCAACTTTCATTCTAACCTTAATCAATGATTACAATCCTATATGATTACTTAGTAATATTATAAAGGACAAACCAAAAGATAGTATCATATTGCAATAAAAATAAACTTGTTGATTGATAAAACTAATATCTTTTGATTTGCAATCAATAAGCTGGTATAACCCTTTAGGACTGCCACATATGATACCATTCAATAGCATCAAATTTATCCACAATTTGCACACATGTAGATTTCATATATGATTACCGGTATGATTTTTCTAAAGCCACTGCCTCTAATTCAAAAACCAAATCTTACCAGACATTGAGAATATAAAAAAAAAGAAGCAAAGAACAATAAACAAAATGGTTGAATGTTTGTTACCTGCAATTTCATGATTACAAGTACTGCAGACTGTATGATTTTTACTCTCAGCACTCAATCTTTTGGAAAATGTTGAATATCAACAAATTAGCTTCAAACAAGGCACATTTGGATTTTTGACCCCTGTAAACTAACATCACAAAAAACATTGTTCAAAACAAGCCTAACACTTACATACCATGGCAACAATTTGATCATACATTAACATGTTCCAGAGCAAAACGTACAATGTTGTACACATTCAAGTAGTCAGTTACATTTTGTACGTCTGGACAGTAGATTCTGACCTACCACAAAATACTGTAGATTTTTATGCGGTGTAGTCTGGCATGTTTATCCAAGGTTATCTCCACTTGGTTTATCAAATATTTTTGGCTTCTTTCTTAACTTAAAAATATAGATTTAAGTATGATGGAATTTTACGTTATCCATTTGAACTAGCCAGTTTTCAAATTCTGTAAATTTTATACAAATACACTAGTTCATGTTTCCAACTGGGCATGCATGGGTGTCATGTATTGTGGGCAATGTGTAAGACATGTTTTGTTTATGTTTCAGGGGATTTCAACTTTGACATGTTACCCACAATACATCACACAACGCATTGTGTAGTTGGAACAATAAACTCAATTTTAATTTGCGAAGTAGGGACTATATGTCATTCTGTAACTAACATTTATTATGATTTTGTGTTTCCATCTTCGATTATATTACATACTATATAACAAGTTATATCATCAACTACATTTATTAGATTAAGTCTTGTACTACTGCATCAAGGCTATTCTACAATTTAAAAACTTTACATTACAAACTGCATTAAATGCTCTGAGCTCCTAGCCTGGGTACCATCCCCAGTAGTATATTCGCAAACTCTATAACTGGGTCTGGACTTGCACACATATGTAGCGTCTGGAGTCTGAATATTCGTTCAGATTTTGAACGAGCGCGCTGATTGGTCCTACTCGTCTAAGCCCTTTTGGGGTATGTACATATTAGGTAAGGGCCGTTCGGACGTCCGAACGGCGACGTTAGCGTCCGTTCGAACGTCCGAACGCCTTATCATCAACATGTCCGACGGCGAACCGAACGCTAAAGCGCACATGATATAGCAGTCTTTCCGCGATAAATCATCAACATGGCTGACGCACAAGCCACTCAGCTCACGGAGGTTGATGTTGACCTCGCAATCACGTCCGTTTTGGACGATTTAGACGGAATAGCGTCGCTCAAAAGGAGCAAAAAGATGCATTGAATAATTTCGTTCGTGATGTTTTGGGCGTCCTACCGGTAAAAAAAAAGAA